TCCGGGTGGGTTGGGCCGGGGCGCGCCGGTAGGAACACGGTTGTAACCGCGGTGGCAGCGGCTCGGCAGTGGCAGTAGCGGCTCAACGGCAGCTCGGCGGCAGCGGCTCGGTAGCGGCGGCTCGACGGCGGCCTCGGCGGCTCGGCGGCTCGGCTGCTTGGCAGCTCGGCGGCTCGGTGGTTCGGCGGCTCGGCGGTGAAGGGGCCGGGGAGGGGCCAAAAGGGGCGGCGACGGGGCCGCAAGGGGCGGCGACGGGGCCGCTAAGGGCGGCGACGAGGCCGCAAGAGGGCGGCGACGGGGTCGATAGGGGCGGCGACGGGGCCGCGAAGGGCGGCGACGGGGCCGCTAGGGGCGGCGACGGGGCCGCGAAGGGGCCGCAAGGGGCCTTGAAGGGCGGCAACGGGGCCGCTAGGGGCGGCGACGGGGCCGCAAAGGGAGGCCACGGGGCCGCTAAGGGCGGCGACGGGGCCGCTAAGGGTGGCGCGAGGGGCCGTGAGAGGGGCCTCTAGAAGGGCGCGACGAGCCGCTAAGGGCAAGGGACGCGACAAGAGGGCGGCCCACGGGCGCGCCTCGGGCAGGGGCGACTCGCGCTTCGGTCAGAAAAAAAAAAAAAAAAAAAAAAATCAGTAGTGGGCCCAAGGAAGCATTCCCACTAGGGAAAGTGCTCTATACCATGTGAAGAAATGAGGAGTGAATGAACTAGCAAGCAGGTGGGTACAAGTAGGAAAACCTAATAGTGTTGTACCCCATATTGTCTACCCCACTACAGCCTACACAGACTATAGCATATGAGTTTGACATGCTCTGCTTCTCCTAATACTGCGATGTCCACTCCGTACACGTCAGCTCCAGCGGCGACGGCCGTTTCATTGTGATGGCATTCACATGGACCGTCGAAGACTCAGGCGAGTGCCTGCGAGGTAGCTCAACCCAGTTACCGCTACTTCGCACAGTGCAGCTACCCGTCGTCCAATCGATTCGCGGATTATACCGTCGCAACCAATCACGTCCCAGTAAAATGTCGTGCCCATCCTATGTCGTCGCGAGCATTTCTTGTGTTAACCCGAAATTCCCCCCGCAACGGACTTTTACTCTCTCCACCTTCTCACGTATGGCCAGCGGTGTGCTGTCAACCAAGCGTGCATCTGCCTTCGGTAAACACCGGCTAAGTGTTAGTTGCAGTTTCCGTGCGGTCGCAGTATTAGCTAAACTATGACTTGCTCCTCCGTCAATAAAAATCTTCACTACTGCTCCCTGTATTTTCCCGTGGATCAGTACTGGGCAATCCGTCGTTGTACCCTCCTTATTCGGCCGAGCCCGATCGATGGCATGAATCGGTACTGTGACTCGGTGAGTGTCGGTGGGGTTGGGCGAGCAGGCAGTCTCGTTAGTAGTTGGCCTGATTCCTACTGACTGCTGGCGTTTCCCTGCCTTGGAGACTCCCTCCCCTGCTCTATTCCGCGGCGCCTCAGCTCCTCAGGGCACTCACTCTTGCGATGGCCCGGCCTATTGCAAGCAAAGCAGCGCCCCTTAAACGGCGCGGCAGCTGCATATGTCGCAATGGCATGTACGGTGGCGTGCTCGATCGGTCCCCGAGGGCGATGTCTGTAGTAGGACCCCGGTCTCGGACGGAGCAGAATGTCGATTTTCTCGGCGAGCGCGAGGATCTCGTTGAAATTCGAGAGTTTGCGTAGCATGATTTCGTGCGAGATGTCTGGCTTCAGCCCTCCGACGTAACGGTCCACCCGCTCCGCTTCGTGCATGTTGCCGACTTGCTCACATAATGCGAGAAAACCGCTCGTGTAATCTTGAACCGATCCGAGCTGCCACCAATTACGCAGTCTCTGACGCGCCGAAATAGAAGTCGCGATCGGCTCGAAGCGCGCCCGAAGCCCTGCGCACCACGCGTCCCACGTGCTGTACTGGGCGGTTTCGCAGAATGAACTCCAGGTGACGGCTGGGCCCGTGGGCCCTTCCTCTTGCGACAGTGGCTCGTAGGCGCGTGGCGACGTCACGATGACTCGCCACCAGTCCATGGAGGGGCCCCTCTGCAGCGAGACAGCGTATCGGATCTTCGCTGCGTTTGACATGACGTAGTTCGCGTCGAAAAGGACGTTCATCGTGAAGACCCTCGATTGAACCGTCAGACCTCTTTGCTGGCTCGGGTCAAAGCAGGGCGGGCAATGCGGCTTGAGTGGCATTGGTGTCATGATGGCGTGGTCGCCACTTGTCGCCGCAAACTCCACGTGCCGACGGGCTTCGCGAGGCTCCCGCGGGCTTGGCGCGGCCCTGTTCTTCTCCATGCCGGGCATCAATTGAGCGGCGCCATCACTGGCTGCGCCTGAGCGGTGTCCCACGCTGTCGTTTTGTGTCGGTGTGCCTGATGAGATGATGATCGGATCCTCCGATTGTGCGGGTGCATTTGCAGGTGAGTGTGGTGGTGCTGGAGCATTCACCGTGAATTGCTGACGAGCGGAGTCGCGTTCCGCCGTGAGTGTCGCAGTTTCGAGCGCCGAGTCTTCAATTTGGCACACGAGACGGTCGAGTTGCTCCTGCGTCAGTGTCGCGAGAGTGAATTCGGCCATGGCGGGGGTGTTGGGCAAGCCCAGCGAGAGCCTTTATCGTGGCCGTGCGTGCTTACGAGAGAGCAGTACGAGCGACGGTGCTTGTTTCGCTAAGAGACGTCTACCCCCCCCCCCCCCCCCCCCCCCCCCCCTCAAAATTGAGATAGTGGAGAAACGAAGGTGTGGGTGCGGTCCGAGAAGAGATCGTAGGCTCTGAATACCAAGCGTTACGAGTGCAATTGAGTGAACGAACGAGAATTGCACTATCAAAGCAAGAGAACAATGAGCGAAGGCATGAGCGAAGAATATATAGCGAAACTACAGTGGTAACGGTAATGCGTGAAAATGGGGTGCGCGACGGGCCTGGCGCCGAGGCTGCAAAATGACGAGGCGGAGGTCCGGAGCGCGAGTTACCAACCGAACCGTGAGGTTGGGTCGCGTCGTGAACAGTGGCGGGAACAGTGTCGAGGCGAATGTTGCGAGTGGTAACGGATTACTATTGGGTGTTGTTGGCGGGAACAGTGGTGTACGCGTTGAGCAGGGATGCGAAGTAAGGAAAAGGAATTTTCCTTATAGAGGTCTAATTCTTCAGAGTTATCTGGTAAGGCTTCGCTAAAGATGAACTTGTTTAGATAATGAGGAGAAATATTGAGTCTGGGAGTAAATTAAGCTATACCGTTTCTGAAATCTCCATGAAAGAATACGTCATAAATATGCAGTCACCTAGAAACCGGATTAGATATATAGTTATGATTATTTACTGTCAGAAGGGTCACATAGATTCTTAAACAGTATGTTTTATTGCAGAAAACACCATCTTCGGATTATGTTGTGATTTGGCCAGTTTCGTATTATAACAGAAGTTGAATGGCACCGCAATGTGCGCAACTCCAATAATTGTCCCCGGAGACGCGACGCGATGTCGTGATGGATGTCGTGATGGGAGCTATTTGGCTGCGAACCCTGGCAGTTGCTTTGCGAAAGTATATTTCCCTTCTGCGACACGAAGAAACGTAACGATCTGCCTACGAGTCGTATCCAACGAAACACAGCAGGCGAAATTTCTTCCAATGTTGAGCTAAACGGTGTTGCCAGTCGCTCTCTCCTCTACTCCTCTCCTCCCGCGCAATTCATTGTTGACAATTATCAGAGCAGGCGAGGGTAGGGTCTGCCGAAACTAACCGTCAGTTCTTAGCATAATCTCGACAACCATGACAGCCCCGCAATTGTGCGACACGGCTGGTTCTCAGTGTAGTTTCGACTCCAGACCTTCCGCGCTTCTCGCCGGTACTAGAGCTGCAGTCCTCGCAACATTATGTCGCACCAGCCAGCTTCAACCAACATTCTTTCGTCGCAAGCTGATGCTTCTCGAATCGCGTCACTAATTGCAGCGCGAACCCTCACTCTCGCGCATTACCATTATTGCGTAGTCCCGTTCCACGTTATTTCTTCGGATTTCCGCTCGAAAATACCCCACGAAGAGACGCCAAGCGCACATCACGGTGATCTCCCAGCACGGGACATGGCACATGACGATTATATCGCCACACTTGTCAGCCGCACCGCACCAGTTATCATGCGGTGCGCTTCGGTGTTGGAGCGGAGCGCGTTCGTTACTGTGGTGCATCCGTGGTATCGGGTATGGGGGGCAAGAGGAGGGGAAGCAGCGTTGGGAACAAAGGGGTTGGGGGGTAGGAGGGAAGGTCGGAAAAGTCCGACCAATGAGCCCATCGCGACGAGCCTAGGCAAGCGCATCACCCATCATTGCGCCAGCTCCGCAGGGTTTCCGCCTGGACCTGTCCGAGGGACTCTAGATTCGACTCAAAAGACCTTGCGCCGAACCCATTGTCGCAGCTCCGCCGCAGGGATTGCGCCCGGGGGGCATTGGCGCGCGCGCCATTGGCGCAACTCCGCGGCGGTAGATTTGCGCCTAAAGCCGTCCGGAAGGAACGGGAGTAGTTGCGCGTGAGTTGCGCTGGCGATGATGTTTGGTCATAGAGAACCCAGGGCATGGCAGGAGCATAAATACGAGGTTGCATTCGAGCTCGAGCATCGCAGTTTCAGAAGCAGGTTTAGTAACTTTCGATTCGCCCGTCCGTGCGTCCTTTTAACGAGAATTTCGTCGGTATAGTATCTTTCCAAGTGGCACTTTTCCGCCCCCGATCTCGCAGCGTCCGGAGTACATTTGAGTCGCCCCAGGAGCAATCCACGCTGCCGTAGTAGCAGGAGCGATTCCCGGGCAACAGCATCAGCCACAGCTTGAGTCCATATTGCCGGAGTCCATATTCAAGGCGTCTAATAACGAGGATACTTGCAGCATCAGCCATGGCGCGCCGTAGCCCCCGCGCACCGTGCCTCGTCCTCCTCGTGTTCTTCGTCGTTCTCGTCGTCAACCCAGCGCGCGCCGCCTTCCCTTCTCTTCCGCGGCGGGCGCTGATGTTTGCCGACACGCCGAGTCGCCACGGGTTGCGGGGTGTGCCGGCGGCGGCTTCCGCCGACGTTTCGCCTCCGCGGAGGGCGTTAATTTCCGCCGCGAACGTCGACGGCGTCCCGGAGACGCTGTCCCCGCGCGTGCTTGAAGAGGCGAGCGTGGAGGGCGGAGACGGGATGGCGGAGGGCGGAGAGGCGGAGACTCTTGACGAGGGGAGGGTGCTTACGTCGGAAGAGTCGGGGGAGGCGGAGGAGGGCGCGTGGGAGCGCGCGAGTGCTATTGCGGAAGAGGCGGAAGAAGGTGTGGCGGAAGGGGAGGAGGGGGAAGTGGAGGCTGGAGAGGAGTTCGAAGAGGGCCGGCATTTGGCGGAGGAAGAAGGGGGGATGGGGGATGCGGAGGCGGTAGAGGGGGAGATGGGGGATGGGAAGGGGGAGACTAAGGAGGGGAGGGTGTTGGCGGAGGAAGTGGAGGGAGAGAATGAGGATGAGGATGAGGGGGAGATGCGGGAGGGAGAGGAGATTGAGGAGGGAAGAGCGCTTCAGGAGCAAGGGGAGTCCGAGGAGGTTGGTAATTTGGAGGGAGCGGAAGAAGAAGAGAATGAGGAAGAGGGGGAGATGCAGGAGGGGAGGGCACTCGCGGAGCAAGACGACGGTGAGGAGGAGGGTGAGTGGGACGAGGATGCTGAGGAGGAGGAAGAAGAGGAGATGCAGGAGGGGAGGGTGCTGATGGGGGACGACGGAGAGTCCGAGGAGGTTGGTGCTTTGGAGGGAGAGGAGGAGGAGAGGGAGGATGAGGAGGAGGAGGGGGAGATGCAGGAGGGGAGGGCACTGGCAGAGCAGGACGGTGCTGAGGAGGAGGGTGAGTGGAATGAGGATGCCGAGGAGGAGGAAGAAGAGGAGATGCAGGAGGGGGAGGAGGTTGAGGAGGGTAGGATGCTGGCAGAGCAAGGAGTGTCCGAGGAGGCGGAGGAGGGGATTCAGGAAGAACAAGATAAACTCAGCGGGGAGGAGGAGATGCAGGAGGGAGAGGAGGTTGAGGAAGGCAGGATGCTGGCAGTAGAGGGGATTCAGGAGGAGCAAGAGGATTTCAGCGATGAGGAAGAGGAGGAGGAGGAAATGGTGGAGGGCAGGGATTTGGCAGAGATGAACGATGGTGAGGAGGCTGGTGCATTGAAGGCAGAGGAGGGGATTCAGGAGGAGCAAGAGGATTTCAGCGATGAGGAAGAGGAGGGGGAGATGCAGGAGGGACGGGCTTTGGCCGAGATAGACGATTCTGAGGATTTGAATGGGGAGGAGGATGAGGCAGAGGAGGAGGAGGAAGCAGACATGCAGGAGGGACGGGCTTTGGCAGAGGTAGATGATTCTGAGGATGTGAATGGGGAGGAAGAGGAGGAGGAGGAGATGCAGGAAGGGCGGGCACTTGCGGAGATGGGCGATTCAGAGGGTGTGAATGAGGAGGAGAGCGAGGGCGAGGAGGAGGAGGAGGAGGAGGAGGAGGAGGAAGAGGAAGAGATGCAGGAGGGGATGGAGGAGGATGGTCGGGTGCTGCTGGCAGGGGAGGGCGAGGAGGAGGAGGAAGAGATGCAGGAGGGACGTGTTTTGGCCGAGATCGACGATTCTGAGGATTTCGATGGGGAGGAGGATGAGGAAGAGGGAGAGGAGGAGGGGGAGATGGAGGAGGGGAGGGCTTTGGCAGAGCTCGACGATTCTGAGGGTGTGAATGAGGAGGAGGATGAGGAAGAGGAGGATGAGGAGGAGGGGGAGATGGAGGAGGGGCGGGCTTTGGCCGAGCTTGAGAATTCTGAGGATTTGAATGGGGAGGAGGATGAGTCAGAGGGAGAGGAGGAGGCAGAGATGCAGGATGAGGAGGATGGTAGGGTGCTTCTGGCAGCAGAAGAGGACGAGGAGGGCGAGGAGGTCGAGGAGGTCGAGGAGGGGGATGAGGAATTCGAGGATCATGAGCAGCAGGTGGTTGAACCAGAGGGGGAGATGGAGGAGGATGGTAGGGTGCTTCTGGCAGGAGAGGACGAGGAGGGAGAGAGTGAGGAGGAAGAGGGGGAGGAGGCCGATATGCAGGAGGGGATGGAGGAGGATGGTAGGGTGCTGATGGCAGGAGAGGAGGATGAGGAGGGCGAGGAGGGAGAGAGTGTTGGGAGTGAGGAGGAAGAGCGGTGGGGTGAGGAGGAGGGGATGGCGGATGTGGCTGAAACAGCAACAGGGCGTCCGAGTTTCAGGTGAGTTTTGAGTCGACTCAAAATGTGTCGTGTGCCATGGTAAAGAGGTGACTTTTGAGTCGACTCAAAAGAGTGAGGTGGAAGAGCAGTGGGCTGAGGAGGAGGGGATAGTGGATGTGGCTTAGACGGGAACAGGGCGTCCGAGTTTCCGGTGAGTTGTAAGCCAATGCAGAGGTGATGCGCGGATTTCCAGCAGAGTTGCAATCCAATGCAACACAACTGACGCACGAGTTTCAGGTTGAGTTGTAAGCCAATGCAAGAGCGATGCAAGAGTGATGCAAGAGCGATGCAAGAGTGATGCAAGAGCGATGCAAGAGTGATGCAAGTGCGTTCCCATGCTTCCAGCAGAGTTGATGAACACAACTTATGCACACAAGTAAGTTTCCGCATCTCCTTTTCCCATGCTTTTGCAGGGTTTCCACTTGATCAACGGGGGCCATGCTTTTGCAGGGTTTCCACTTGATCAACGGGGGCCATGCTTCGGGAAAGTGGTCTGTGGTAGACGGTAGATGGCTGACAAGTGGACAGGCATGGATTGACAGGGTGGAACAGTGGCCAGGGGTTGGGAGGAACGACAACCCACAATAAGCTAGAATAAGGTTGAATACGAGCTGCTTTCGAGCAGTTTGTTTTGGCCAACTGCTCCTTTACTCCGGTTGCACTAGAGGAAGCAAGTTTCCCTCTTTTCTTCTCTCACCTTTTGCTTGCATGGTGTGACCTTGTTAATCAGCGCAGCATGTGTGGTGTGTCTGATGTGGTGATTCTAGTGGCTGGTTTGCTGTACTCTCCTTTTATTACTATCGTTACCCTCTGATACCATGTGTATTTCACTGTAGCGGGAGGTCACAGCTGCTCCGACCTTCAACCTAACGCAGAACAGAGTGTGAACTAGGAGTATGACACTTGAAGAGTTTACTTCTGAGTCGACTCGAAAGTCAACTTAGCGGGAGGACATGGCTGCTACGACCGTCAACCTAATGCAGAACAGAGTGTGAACTAGGATATAACACTTAAAGAGGAACGAACCAGTATGGTAGCACTGCAACCGATACCAAGGTTCTTCCCTCCCCTAAGTTTCTCAGCAGGGCAGGGACTCCCCACTGGTGTAAAAATAAGGGATTTTTTCTTTGCAAGCCTGTATCTCGACCTCAAGTTGGCTGTGATCTTTCTGCTACTGTAACTGCAGCCTGTACCGTAGATGATGGCAGAACTACCACAACTATCATGATGCTGCTTTTTCTTGCTGGAATACCGTATGTTTATCCCCCCATAAGAGTTTCTTCTGTGCTCCTCCAACATTCCTTTCCTCATCAGCAAGGAACCTCGGGAGCTCACCTCACGTTCCCCTGACGACCTCACGTTCCCCTGACGACCTCACGTTCCCTTGACGACCTCGCTCCTGGGGACATCAGAAGATAAGCAGTGCAGTTCACCTCACTTATGTAAGCGGAGTTTATACTTTCCACCCATAAATCTCACGTCTTCACCTTTCAACGCATAAAAGCAGAGTTTAGTTTTTCACTGCACCCTCCAACGTAGTATCAGCTTTCATATCAGCAGACATTGTACCATAGCATTTGATTAGCACAAAGAGATTATTTGCCAACTAGTGTCAAATCTCCATACTTCAGCAGCTTGCCTCCTCTATCAGCTGCCCGGGGGCAGGAAAAAAACCTCGGGCAGTTAGAATTGCCGAGACAACTGAAGTGAGTGCCATAGGCACCAGCAAAAAGAAAGTAACACTTAACTGAAGGTTAACTGCTTCTTGCGGCGGCATCCCCCCCATAAGCATCCCCACCATAGCGCCAGGAAGCTGAATCACGCCGTAAGTCTTTATGTAGTCTAGTGTCGGCCCGAAACCCACTGCTACGGCCTTCCGAATGAGGGGAAGGGAGGCCTGCCATTGGCTTGCACCTAAAGCCAGTGCTGCTTCCACCTGGAAACAAAGGTGGGAGAACGGGGAAGGAAGCAACAACTGAGTGTTGAATGTTACACAGTAAAGGTTCAAACCAAAGGCCACTGCTACGGCCTTTCGAATGAGGGGGAGGGAGGCCTGCCATTGGCTTGCACCTAAAGCCAGTGCTGCTTCCACCTGGAAACGAAGGTGGGAGAGCGGAAAAGGAAGCAACAACTGAGTGTTGAATGTTACACAGTAAAGGTTCAAACCAAAGGCCACTGCTACGGCCTTTCGAATGAGGGGAAGGGAGGCCTGCCATTGGCTAGCACCTAGAGCTAGTGCTGCTTCGACCTGGATTGGAAGTGAGGGGATGCAAAATGGGAAGAAGTGGGAAGGAGTGGGAAGGAGTGGGAAGGAGTGGAAAGAGGAGAGGTGGGGCGAAAGCCCACTGCTACAGCCTTTCTGGCTTGCGCCTAGAGTCAGCGCTGCCTCTACCTGGATTGGAGGTGGGGGGGAGTGAAGTGGAAAGAGGAGAGGTGGGGCGAAAGCCCACTGCTACAGCCTTTCGGATGAGGGGAGAGAAGCCTGAACCTGCGTTGCGTGTAGAGCTACTGCGTTGCGTGTAGAGCTACTGCGTTGCGTGTAGAGCTACTGCGTTGCGTGTAGAGCTACTGCGTTGCGTGTAGAGCTACTGCGTTGCGTGTAGAGCTACTGCGTTGCGTGTAGAGCTACTGCGTTGCGTGTAGAGCTACTGCGTTGCGTGTAGAGCTACTGCGTTGCGTGTAGAGCTACTGCGTTGCGTGTAGAGCTACTGCGTTGCGTGTAGAGCTACTGCGTTGCGTGTAGAGCTACTGCGTTGCGTGTAGAGCTACTGCCGCTTCTACCTGGAAACAAAAGGTGGGAAAGAAAGCTCTAGGCGCAACGCGAAGGGGAAAGAAAGCAACAATCGCGAGTGGAATGCCACATGGCCACATAGTTAAGCAACAATGCTACAGCACTTCCTGCTACAAATCCCTGTGCTACAAGCGAAGGACTCACCTGCCCTCTCCTCTGCCGAAAGTCATCAGCGAGTCGCTGCATGGTGTTGGCGAGTCCCTTGAAAAGAGTCAAACCTACCTTTTCTATCCTCTTCCCTTTAACACCCCACCTGCCCCCTCTTCTGCTGAAAGTCATCAGCGAGTCGCTGCATGGTGTTGGCAGCAATGGTCATGCTGCTGCCCACCACAATGCGACAGCTACTCATGCTTATTCTGCTACAGCCCTCCTATGGATTAAGACCTCACCTGCCCTCTCCTCTGCTGGAAGTCGTCTGCCAGTCGCTGTATGGTGGTGGCAGCAATGGTCATGCTGCCGCCTTCATGCTACAGCCCTTCCTGCTACAGCCCTTCCTGCTACATCCCTTCCATTCCAACTACGATTCCCCGTGCTACAAGATAGGAACCCACCTCTCCCCTCCTCTGTTGAAAGTCGTCTGCGAGTCGCTGCATGGTGTTGGCTGCAATGGTCATGCTGCTGCCCACCACAAGCCCTGAAATGGGAATCACAAACCCTGGTCGCAGCCGAACCACCTGCGATGGGAGTGGTGCGGTGCAGTGCGGTGATGGGGATAAATATGGAAAGAATGATGGGTGTGGTATGGTGCAGTGCGGTGATGGGGGGAGTGAGGTAGACCGAAAGGGGTTAGGCTGCTGCCACCCACCACCAGGCCCGCAATGGAAATCACAAACCCTGGCCACAGGGGAACCACCTGCGATGGGTGTGGTGCGGTGCAGTGCGGTGATGGGGGGAATAAAGTGGATGAAAGAGGGGGGTTACATTGCTGCCACCCACCACAAGACCCGCAATGGGAATCACAAACCCTGGCCGCAAGGGAACCACCAGAAGGAGAATGATAGGTGCAATGGGGTGAAGTGCGGTGCGGTGCGTTAAAGCATGGTCATGCTGCCACCCACCAGAAGGCGTGCATTGGGAATCACAAACCCTGGTCGCAGGGAAACCACCTGGGGGAGAAGTGGGAAGAAAGGTGATGGGTGCAGTGGGGTGAGGTCAGGTATGGTGTGGTGCGGTGCAGTGCAGTGCGACGGGCCGTGGTCATGCTGCTGCCCTCCACAATGCCCCCAATGGGAATCACAAACCACGGCCCTCCATAGTGCCCCCACCTGAGGACCAGGGGGGTAAACATGCAAGGATGATTAGCGCGGTGGGGTGGAGTGTAGTGCGGTGAGGGAGGGAGGTGGATGGGTACCACGAGGTGCGGCTCACAACTAACCACCCCCCCTGAAATCCAGAATTCCCCAAGCCTTTCCATATTTCGACGGCATGCATATGCCTGCAAGGTCGCGAGCAGCGAGAAGGCAAAGTGGCGGAGGCTCCTATTGCCCAGAGTGCCAACCCCTTACCTCGCAATCTATGGCACACATACCTGCAAGGCTGCAAGGAGAGAGAAAAGGCGAGTGTGACAGTGGCTCCTATTGCGCAGAGCGCCACCCAGAACCCCCCAGCCACCCAGAATCCCTCAAAAGGCGCCCACCCCTCTGTGCCATACCTGCAGGCCCGCAAGCAGAGAGAATGCGAGTGTGACGGCGGCTCCTATTGCCCAGAGCGCCACCCAAAACCCCCCCGCCACGCGCTTGGCTCTCTTAGACGCTGTGTGTGCTGCTGCCAGCACCTGTGGGATCCACATGGGTTACAGCGCGTTACAATCGGTTCAAATATGCTCAGTGGGTGTGGAAAGACTGACGAAAAATGCGAGTGTGACGGCGCCTTGTATTGCCCAAAGAGCCTTCCAAAATCCCCGAGCCATGCGCTTGACTCTCTTAAACGCAGTGTGTGCTGCTGCCAGCACCTGCGAGTTAGAGAGGTTGAGATGGGTTGAGTTGGGTTCAGAGGAGAAGGAAAGATGCAAGGCGCCTCAACAGCCAATTGACCGACCACCTGACAACCAATCTACTCCAGGGCGGCGAGAGCAGGGCGGAGAGAAGGCAGGGAGAGCATGGCGGGTGAAGGGAGTGGAAGGTGTAAATCAATACACTCACCGCAAGTGCCTTTTGAGTCGACTCAAGAGGGAGTGGAAGGCGTAAATCAATACTCTCACCACGAGTGTCCGAGACACTCACCACAAGCACCCCACACACTCACAATGAGCGGCCGACACACTCACCATGAGAACCCCAGACACTCACCATGACCACCCCAGACACTCACCATAATAGCGACTCCAGAACACGCCACTTCCGCGCTTTCTATGGCCACGATGTACTTGATCGCGAATCCAACGGCTGAGAGCTGTGCAGCCGCCCTTATCCCCCCTACAAGCAGATCCGCTGCTGTGTTAACGTCGATCCAGAGGCAGATGGAAAGCGCCACCAGAAACATCACTATGATTGTGATCTGCCTCTCATGTCCCACAGAACTGTACCCCCACATGCCGCCTTGTTCCCCCCACATTCTGGTCTGGGGTGACGTCTGGGTTGACTCTAGTAATCTTTCCGAGTTGTATGTACCGCATTGCTCCCCCAAACTGGTTGCGGTGACGCCTCCGTGCACTGTACTGCTTCTAAGAAAAGTGCCTTGCAACAGTGTACTGTTTCTAAGACGAGTGCCTAATTGTAGTGTACTGCTGCTTCTCGCGTACTTTTGTCTAATTCCCAGGCTTCTGGTCAAGAATCGTTCAACTCCCAACCTTTTAGCCAAGTGTCTCCCGATTCTGTCTCTTCTAGCAGCTAAGCACTGCTGCTCCGCTCTTGATGCCGTTAAGGCTGCATCCGTGTCAGGCCCCATAAAAAAAGCCCCCGAGGCCTCAGATACTAGGAATTCATCACTCGTTATAGCATCATTCGCTATAGCATCACCCGCTATAGCACATTGTCTCTCAAGCGCCCCGGCATCAGAGCCGTCCCATGACGTCGCACTGCCGTCCCTACTCGATGCGTTGCTCGCAGTGTGATTCGCGGCGATATTCGCGGCGACATTTGCGTAGACATTCCTCCCCTGGGAACACGGAGCAAAATTGGTGCGACTTAATCTCCTCACGCGCAATGCCGCACTGACTGCTGATGCTGATTCACCACCCACTATTCCGTGCACTCTTAACGGGCATACATCACGAAAACCTCGCGAAATTGGCTGAGAGCGAGGATGGTTTATTCGGCCGGAAAACTGAGCATATGGCGATTCCTGAGCATACAGCAGAGAACTTTCTGGCGGTTTTGCTGGAGGAATTGATGACGAAGCTGCTGACCGAGTTGCGGCTCCTGTCAGGGTCGCAGCTGTTACTGCAACTGCAGTGCGAACCGCGAAGACTCTCCTTGGCCTCCGCGCAGTCTTCGTGGTAACTGCTGCGTTACAAGCCGTTGCGTTAGTGGCTGTTGGATTGGTAGCAGTCAATCCTTTCATTTCTTACTGCGGGCGATGGCGAAACGCCTAACGGAGCGGGAATGGTCGGCCTCCGTGCCGCCTTGACGGCAACTTTGAAGAGAAATAGGACTGCCGTGCAATTGCCGCGCAATTCCCGTGCGACTGCTGTGCGACTGCCGTGTGGCTGCCGTGCGGGCTGCCGTGCGACGCGACTACCCTGCGGCTGCCGTGCAACTGCGAACGTTCAAGTCACATGCTTGCAATTTTGTCGCGTCATTCAGCACACGAGCCTGCCTTCGTTCACTGGGAGACTGCGACGACGCCGCGACTCGCGATAACGCGTCAACTTGAAATGTGCGAATTCCAAATCCTAAATGCGGACCGACGCTGCACACGACGTATGGATTCCTAATTACAGAAGGCACGCTCTGCGAGTCAAGAAGCGTTTCCTCTCAGGAGGAGAAAGACAACAACTATTTCCGTCTAGGAACGCAATTTAGTCACCTAACGGCTCTCTGGACTGATGCTGCCAGCCATGAAATCAGCCAGGATATGTGAAGGATGGATGATGAATTGCAGATCCCCATTTCATGCTAACCCTACTCAATCCCTTCCAAAATGTCCTAGCTCATCGTTTTTGCCAAGTTCGCAAAAAAATCGCCCACTACAGTGCTGCAGTGAAATTCAACTTGGTTCAGTCCATGGTGCAGCAGGGTGCTGCTGGGATCTGTGGCTCTTCTTGATTCTTGACGGGTTACAGAAGGGTGAGCTCGCGAACCAATCAGAGTGCCCTGGCTACGCCGGCACTCGAACGAACCTTATCTGTTCACCCAGCGAACGCGTTGTTCCGTGATTGGGTATAGCAGCCATGTTCACTGCTCCTTAGGTAATCTGTTCTAGCTACAAGGTCTCTATGTATGTTTTTGTGGTGAAAAAAATGAATTATTTGCGTACAAAATCTACAAGATCCTACATCCAAAGAAAGTCTCACCAAGTTTCTAGCAGCTGTGCATGACTATGAAAAAACTGGGGGGCAGCTAGAAGAGCCGACACAATACACGACAGGGAAAGCGCCCCCAACAAAAGAAAAGTGATTGTAATCTGCAGGTTGACAGCTTCTTGTGGAGACGCTCCCCCCATGATCATCCCAGTCATGGAGCCTGGGAGCTGAATTATCCCCACAGTCTTGGTGTAGTCTATTGTAGGACCGAATCCCACGGCTACGGCTCGTTTGATGAGGGGAAGAGAGGCTTCCCATTGGCTAGCGCCTAGGGCAAGTGCTGCCTCTAGCTGTATTGGAGGGGACAGAAGGGTGCGAAGAGACGAGAAGGGGTTGGGGATGGAGGAGTGTGAGTGTAATCTGCACATTCACGCTTCTTGGGGAGATGCTCCCCCCATGATCATCCCAGTCATGGAGCCTGGCAGCTGAATTATCCCCACGGTCTTGGTGTAGTCTGTAGTGGGGCCGAATCCCACGGCTACTGCCCGTTTGATGAGGGGAAGGGAGGCCTCCCATTGGCTTGCGTCCAGGGCCAATGCTGCCTCAAGCTGGAAGGGGAACGGTGGAGGGAGTTAGAGACATTGAATAAGGGGAAGGATGGCATGAGAAGCAGAGTTGACGGTGAAAGGGACCAGAAAGGCTGGTTTCAGATGAATTAGGAGATGGGAGAGATTGGGGGTGGAGAAACGGGCAGGCGGTGGGAATGGGTGGGAAGGAGTGAGGATGGCGTGAGAAGAGGGGTTTATGGTGAAAAAGGGACTAAGGCACGGCACGGCAATGATTCCGTCCCTCTGTTCCTTCCCTCTATTCCTTCCCTCTATTCCTTCCCTCTCGCCCATTCCCCCAGTTTCTTTAAAGGCGTTTGGAGAGCGCCTGTGTGGAGTGAGGGGACTGTTGACACAGCAGTAAGTAAGGCTGTGACGTGTACAGGGACTCCGGCACGCCATGTTGTTGCTTCTCTCTTGCTTATTCTCCCGGCTCTTTTTGCTATGCAAGCCTTTTGTCGAGCTAGTCATGATGCATCTCTTTTGGTGAGCTTCCTCATCTGTCTGCTCCTCTGCGTAAAGCTGTCACCAAGTCACTGCATGGCATTGGCAGTTTCCCCCCCCCCCCCCCCCCCAACGTCTGTTTACAGCTGATCATTCAAGACGCACCTGCCCCCTCCTCTGCTGGAAGTCGTCTGCGAGTCGCTGCATGGTGTTGGCTGCAATGGTCATGCTGCTGCCCACCACAATGCCCCCGATGGGAATCACAAACCGCGGCCGCAGCCGAACCACCTGAGAATAAGAACAACGTAGAAGGAAAAAAAAGGGGGGAATAAAGGAGGATGTCCGGTGCAGTGTACGAATCCCAGCTCACCCCTCAGCCCATATGCCGCCCTCCAGAACCTCAAACAGTATGTTTAAAACAAGTCTCGCATGTAGGCTGCTGAGGAAAGAGTGCAGTCGAGTCACCGTGCCAGTTGTTACTACCACAGGCGCCACCCGCAACCCCAGCTCGTGATGCCATTCCATCCCTCAATACCCCAATGAAACCCTGACAACAGGCCTAGGGCTATTCTCACCTGCAAGCTGACGAGGTCAGAACGCAATCACAGGGCTAGTTGCTAATGCCACAGGCGCCACCCACAATCCCAGCTCGTCATGCCATCCCTCAATATCCCGCTCTTCTGGAGTCCTGGGGCTGCCTTTCTCACCTGCAAGCTGACTAGGAGGGACAGCGCAGTGACAGTGCCAGTACCCACCGCCACCAGCTAACCTCTACTGCCACATCAACACCACCCACAACCCAAACTCGTCATCCCATCCCTCACCTGCAGGCTGACTAAGAGTGACAGCGCAGCGACAGTACCAGTCGCCACCACCACCAGCGCCACCCAGAAGCCCCGAGACACTGACTTGATTCAACACTCTAATAACCCTAATCCGGAGGCCCGGGGCAGGTCTCACCTGCAAGCTAACGAGGAGAGAGAGCGCAGTGACAGTGCCAGTAGCCACCGCCACCAGCGCCACCCAGAAGCCTCGTGGCACTGACTTGGCTCTCCGGGAGGCTGTGTAGGCTGCTATCACGATCTGTGGGGGGAAAAGGAATCGACAGGAGAAGAGAGTGAGCACAGAGAAGCGGAACGGATAGTGGATTGGGAATGGGGCCGAGTGCACAAGGGAAGGGGTTAAGTGGGAGTGAAGTGCGGTGGCGGGTTAGAACGCGAGGGGTATATTTGAGTGTGACAAGGCAAGAGGGAGGGGAAGGGGGGTGACGAGGGGTACGAGGCAAGACGAGGGGAAGGGGGGGAAGGGGGAGGCGGGAGGAGGGGGGGGGAGAGGGGAGGGGTGGTGTGAGGGCGATGAGGCAAGAAGTAGGGAGGGTGGGTGGGGGAGGAGGGGAAGAGGGAATTGGGGAGAGGGGGGGAATGGGGGAATGGGGAGGGGGGAGTGGCGGGGAGTGGTTTTGGTAAATGAATGCCATCACCTTCAACAATTTAGAAAAGTGAAGCCCACGTTTTTTTTTTGCCTCGTGTTCAGTTCATTCCCCTCAAGTTCATCTCCCCTCACGTTTATTTCCCCCCCCCCTCCCCCCATGCATTCCCCCCCACATTCCACCCCCCCACATTCATTCCCCCTTCCCTAATCAGCCCCCCTTGCACGGGCTCTTACCATGACTGCCACGGCAGCAAAGACGGGATGCGCGCTGTCAACGGTGAAGATGTATTTGAGCCCCAATCCAACGGCTGTCAGCTGCACGAACGCCCTCGTACCCGATACAAGCAGGTCCGTTGCGGTTTTCACGTCCAACCAGAGGCACACGGAGAGGGCTACGAGAAACAGCATGGCTGTAGCTAGGTGCCGCTCGGTTCCCATGGGTGCTGCGGCTGATTTCACGCCTGACTTGCTGATGGCTGCTTGCCATTGCGCTTGCGACTGTTGGGTCTTCCCTTGCCCCTCTTTCTTCCCGTGCGACGGCTTCGTCCCGTGCTCTGCCTGCTCCTGCTGCTGCTGCTGCTGGTTCCACGGTTGCTCGTGCTGTGGTTGCTGTCTTTGCTGTTGCGATAGTTGCTCTTGCTGTTGGGTATGCCGCGAATCCCTTGATTCGTTTCGCTGCTGCAGAAGGCGGATGAACGTGAGTGGAGTAGAGGGGTTTGACGAAAGTCGATTGGTCGAAGATAACAATAGGACTAATGTAGACTGATAATGAGAGGGTTTACGATGCACCGCGTGAGCCTTACTTCGCTTTTGTTTGTTCTGAGCTATCATTGGAGCAACTTTGCCGCGGGTCGCGATCGCTCAGCCACTGAAATTACAGAATCGGTGTTTCCAGCTTTTGGACGACATGTCAATCAGCCTTGTCAATACCAGATGGTGAGACGTTATTTGGCCATAAAAATGTAACAATGTCGGACCGTATAGATATTAATGAGTCTAATGAAGATGAGACTGACCTGAGTCGGTGCGGCCTGACTGGAAGCTTCGGATGCCGACATTACAACTCGAGAAGCATCGCGACGGTTCATGCTCGTAGTCCCTCCAATGAACGGTGCTGATTTCAACGCCATATTGGACGGCAGGGATCCGGCACATTCGTCTCTGAACCCTTCCGACCACGTACTGCTTCTCATGCCAGTTCTCCCAATACTTCTCGAGCTGCTTCTCATCCTCCTTGAGTAATCAGATTCAGTGCAATGAGCCGCCTTGTCATTCCACAAACGGTTTTTTCCCGTAATCCCAGTGGGGAAATTTCTCGCATTTCCCTGTCGCTGACAGCTGACGCGTGCTCTGTATTGCCTGTCTTCTAGAGAAGGTTCGGAAGAGGATCCAGGAGATGGAGCGAGGCAAATGCGGTTGGTTGGCAGCTGGACCAGAGGCGAGTTGCGAACAGAAACGGAGGCTGCAACAGGTACATTCATGGTTGTTTGACACGGAGCACTGACGAAAGTTGACTGAAGCTGACTGACGCTGACTGGCGCTTTCAAATTGCAGCGAGTAGCTGTATGGAGTGAGGAAATGAGTCTCGGAGACCTTTCAGAAGCGGCGACCAGACGAAAAATGCTACTGATTAGCTAATGAGGAGCACGAGATCATAAAATACTACATCAGACCCGAAAACCACTGACAGTCGCTACAACAGATATATCTAAGCCCATTGTAAGCTTGACCTCCCAAATTCACGAGCCTATGCGAAACTTGCAATTGTGCTGCCTGAAAAAAGAAACTCCAGGGCGACAGGTTTCTTATTCTAGCAACTCATTCAAGCATAATTCTAGCCACTAGTTCATGCCACGTTAGGGAAAAGGCCTGCACTGGTTTAGGGCTGAAGTCTGAAGAATGACAAGCAAAGGTAAATGCGATCATGCTGCTCCCCAGAGGAGCAGAGTGGATTGGCTGTGGGAGGACGAGATTTGGGGCCAACATCACAGGCATGCAAAACAGTCTGGTAACCCTATTCGATTGTATGCAAAACCGTCGATACCCCAGTTCCACTGCGCAAATCTGTCTGGTACCGCCACTCAAAACACTGTGTAACAGCTGACGCAGCACAAAAAGAAAGCAATACGTGCAACAATCGAATACGCTTTCAATTTATTTTCATTCTATTCTTACCGCGCCTGATAACGATTCTTGCAGGCAACAAATTTCCGTTGAATGTGCACGATAATTTCGACCGGAAAATTCGTTGGAATGAAAGAAATATATATTACTACCGGGTGCTGTAAGGGCAGGCAAGAAAAAAAATAAAACCCCTAGGGACTGGGACTCATCTCAGGGAAGGATCAACCCTAAACACGGGAAAGGGCATTGTTTTTAGGGCTGATGCCTCCCGAGTCGCATCCCTTTCCGATTGTGTTTTATTTTTTCTGCAGGTGTAGCGAGCAGTGCTGCTCATATGGCAGAACAGTCGCCCTAATAAATCGATTTTTATAGGACAACAAAGCGTGGTAGAAATCTAATTTTGCAGTAAATAGAACCACAATTCTAGGGCAATATGTCAAAAACTTTGAAACCGAGGTATCGACGGTTTTGCATACAATCGAATAGGGTTACCAGACTATTTTGCATGCCTGTGATGTTGGCCCCGAGATTTGCGGGTGAAGTACTGACAGCGAACCTGTTGTGATTGGTTTATAGCTTGCGGGAGTTTTCAGCGACAGCCGTGCGACGTTGCTGATTCGAGGTTACCAGCAACCGCCACGAGCTTGTTGCTTGACGAGCGGTATGACGATGTGGCCACCTTCGGAGCCGACAGGTGTCGGATGGGACTTGTGACATGGTTTACGCAGAGTACTAGCAGCCACATCAGCATGCTTCGATAGTACTGGATGACCTGGACAGGCTCAGAGAACTCCAGAAAATTTCGACATTCTTCAAGTTGCATTTCTGTTCAAACTAATGGCATAACGACCACAAAAAGGTGCCTCTATAACGCGAATAATGCCATGACGACGACAAAAAGGTGCCTCTATAACGCGAATTATTCCTTTTCCCCTCCTCCCTTACCTCATCAAAGCGCTGCCAATATTCAACAGTGGCTCTTGTGGTCGGACGCTGTTAGGTATAGGCTTCGTTAGTCCGTGCGACGCGCAGCGAAGTTCGTCAACAGTTAGCGAAGCGCACGCAGGCAGCATTCGTCGTCCCTGTCACCTGCGCGACTCTCCTGGTACATTCTTCGTTGCGACTTAGCGCGTTCTCCGCATTTCTCAATGGCGTCCGTCCTCGCGTCGCATTGCGTCGCGCCGACCTCCTGCGCGGTTTCCGGAGCAAGCCCCCTCGGGCCTGATACGCGACCGCATTCATTTTCGCAATGCCGAATCCGATCCACGCCTGCCGAGCCTCGCGCGTCAGGCTTGTCGTCGTCGCGGTCCTTGCTCGCTTCTCGCCAGTTACATTCGCGAAGCTCGTTAATTCCTTTGCGAAGATTGTCGAAGTTGTGCGGTCAGGCACGCGCAACCCTTGATGATTCTGCATCCGAATCAGGCCCATCCGCAGGCTTCCCTGCGTCCATGTCAGCAGCCGCGACGCGAAGGGACCTTCTCGCGACCACCGCCGCGATCTCCGCCGCGTTCTTCGCGCAGCCGCTGCTTCCAAGGCTCGCGGCCGCTGAGGAGGCAGCCGGCGTGATTGAAACGAGCGTGATAGTAGGAGAAACTGCAGCACCAGAAGTCGCACGAGCAGCAGCAGCAGCACCGGCGGCAGCGGCACCGGAAGCAGCACCAGCAGCAGCGCCATCACCAGCACCAGCAGCAACCCTAGACGCGGGTTCCGCGCCTGCTACCACCCCGAGCAGCAGCAGCAGTGGCACTAGCACTAGCAGTGGCAGTAGCGGTAGCAATCCCACCACTCTGACACAGCCTTCCGCGCCGCCTTCCGCACAGCCTTCTGCGCAGCCTTCCGCGCAGCCTTCCGCCCAACCTTCCGCGCAGCAGCCCGCCTCCCGTCGTCCCGCCAGCGAGGTGCTGGACGTGGCCAGCTGGCAGCGAGTGCGCGGCGAGGATTTCGCCGTGCGGTTACCACCCGGTTTCGTCGACGTTACGCCGCAGCCAGACGAAGAGGCACTCAACGCGCCCATGTCAACCGTAGGCCTCGAAAACCGGGCAAAAAAATCTCCTCTGCTTGCACGGTTCGTCTCCGCGGACGAATCAGAAGAAGTCATCACGGTTATCTACCGCCGGGCAGCCGACGTAAAACTTTCGTTCTTCGAGCCCAAAGACGTGTCGGATTTCGGTCCGATTGAGGAAGTGGCCAGTCTTTTCGTGCCACCTGGCTCGCGGGTACTGGCGAAACGTGCGTTCACTGCTACACCCAGACGAACTACACGCACGTATTATCTGTACGAATTTGTGACTGGAAAGGGGCCGAAGGCGCTGCATGGTGCTATGAGTGTGAGTGTAGCGAGGGGGCAGGTTTACCTGATGGCTGCCACGGCTCCAGAGGAGAAGTGGCGGCCTGCTGCTGCAAGGCTCAGGGCTGCTGCTGGGGCGTTCCTGCTGGTGATTTAAAGGAACGTGATTACAATGAGGGGCTGTGACTGTATGGGGAGTACGGGAGGAGACGGGGCAGGTGTACCTGATGGCTGCGACTGCTCCTGAGGAAAAATGGAGGCCTGCTGCTGCCAGGCTCAGGGCTGCTGCTGGGGCGTTCCTTTTGGTGATCTAAGCAGGTGTGACTGTATGAGGGACCATGCGAAGGAGGAGGAGCGCGTGTGAGTGTAGCGAGGGGCCTGGCAAGTGTATCTCATGGCTGCTGCTGCTCCAGAGCAGAAGTGGCTGTCTGCTGCTGCCAGGCTGAAACACAATCAAGTATGGAGAGTCAGCATGGTCAAGGTTTTAGGGGAAGCTAAGTGTGTTTAGGGAACAGGTGACAGGATGCTTGCAGCTGAACAGAATCATAAAAGGCAGCCAGGGTTAGGCTAACTAATGTGTCTCTATGGGGGGTTGAATGGGGTTCCAACTTCCAAATGTCAATGTACCTGTAGGGTTCTCGGTTCAGTGTTGCAGTGTTTAGGGTTCAGGATGCCAATTAGGGGATCGCAGTTGAGTGGAGGAGGGAGAGGGAGGGACCCACTCTTTGATGGTGGTTAGGTTATCCCAGTGTTATTAGTAGGAGCTGATTTGTGTGAGCATATTCCTGCTGCAGTTCAGTCCCCTGAATACACAGTACATTCTGTTGCAAAGTGATACAATACAACAGCTACAGTCTGCTGCTGTCTTTTGTCCTCTCATGAAATCAAACTCATATGGAATTGTATGACATTGTCCAAGCGCATAGCGCAGTGTACATTGCGATGCATTGATACTTGTGGTACCAGAGCACTTGCAGCAGCAACAAGTTGACTACTGGCTCGACTCAAGAGTGTACCCTGTACTACTCGTGGTGCATGTGTACGTACTTGCAGCAGCAACAGCGTCGCAGCATGGTTTGCAGTCACGGCTGCCACTCATTTGCTCAACGCTGCGGCTACAGTTTTTGAGATGCCTAAGAAACAGCTCACTCTCCGAGCTTCGTATCATCCTACTCAGACCCAGTGATGCAGAATCTACTACTGCCACTTGCACTCCTGCTGCTCCCCTCCGCTGCTGCTTGCCTCTGCGGCTACAGTTTTTGAGGTGCCTAAGAAACAGCTCACTCTCCGAGCTTCGTATCGTCCTACTCAGATCCAGCGGTGGAGAATCTACTACTGCCACTTGTGTTGGGTGCAAAACGTATTTTGCACGTCAACCTGTCGCCTATTCGTCGAGCGATGTGAAATTTGAGGGTATTTGTTTTGAGGTATTTTGTATGGTGTGGAATGTGCATTTGTGTGATTTTCATTCTGGCGTTTACGGTTTATGAATCGCCTTAGCGGTTCATAAGTTATGTGCATTTTTGTGTGAGGTTCCATTCATGCGTTTTCATGATTGTTCGTGTGAATTTCGTGTTGTTTGTGTCGTGTCATGAATGTGCGTGAAGCTCCGAGTGATCATGTGCTTTCATGAGCCTTCGCGCGTTCATGTCAATTCGCGTGCTGTTCGTGCAAGCTTCATGAGCGTTCATGTGTTTACATGTTCGTTCATGTGCGTTCATGTTTGCTCATCTGTTTGTGTTTCATTCATGTTTGTTTCTGTTTTGGTTCTTGTGTTCATGAGGGGAGCGAGAGTGTTTTGTGCCCCTCGAAATATCTCGCGCTGGTCAAGCGAGAATCACGAGAGAATCAGGACCGCGCGTGGGTCCTGATTTCGCGTGTGGCCTCACAGTGCCCGCGCGTGTGCCTACGAACTGTAGCAAGCGTGGCAAGGCCCACGATCGCTACAAGACAGGGCGATAATTATCGCCCTGCCCACGTCAGGACGGCGCGCCCTCAGGGGTGCGCGTGGGTTGCGAGAGGTGCCGAGAGATCCCGAGGGGTGCTCGGAATTCACTCGAGATTTCAGTTGTAAAACTGAATCTCGAGCGTGTCTTTTTGTGACGTGGCACATAGAACTTTCGCGAGAAAGCAGCGCGCCTAACAGAACAGTTCGAATTACAGGTACAAAACGGAAATATCCGTTTTACAACTGTAAACAGTGGGAAAACGGGAATTCCCACACGAGCGTTCATGATTCTACTTGTGCGTACATGAACGTTCGCGAGAGGAGTCAGCAGGGGCAATTGGCAGACATGTAACTTGACGACAGTTATTTCAAGGACTCGGATCAAGCCAAATGGAGCAGAAGTTTGGCAACCGTTTTTCGAGACAGCAAGGCGAAGTCCTAGAAATGCAGTTAATCAACCGTTTGCTATTTTCCTTTGCATGTATGTTAGGCGAACTATATTTGCATGCTTGTGCGAAGTTGTAATCAATCCTTTTGGTGAATGAAAATTGCTCTATCGACGTATTGACGCGAGGAGCTTTTCTGCACACGCACATATCGTTCGTCAACGCTGCGCAATTGAGCTTGGGAATGCTCTTAGTGCACACGACCGTTTTTACACTAAGGAAAATCCCTCTACAAACACGGACCCTTGGTTAGGGGCTGGCGTTGCCAGGCACCCGAGGACCCTTGGAGGTGACCCCGTGGGGACTACCTAGAGTGTATTAAAGGTGTGCTTAAGAGTTTCTAGATCCCAATAGTAGTCAACAACTTGCACTCCTGCTGCTCCCCCCCGCTGCTGCTGCCAGGCTTGCACATTTGCTGCTACAAGAAAGTAATGTTTGAGGGTTGAAGGAAAGAAACAAGAGAGAAGAGGGATGCAGCACCGCCTGAGTAATAGCGGATCTAATTCAGGAGAAGAGAGAGAGAGTAGATGCATACGGGTATGTCGTGTTGGAGAAAGGGGTTCAAGCGAATTATAGCTTGATTTTTAGACGTCTCAAGCATCACCACCTGAGTCTTGAGTAATAGCCAATGTAATGTTGTAGAACAGGGTGAGGCGAATGATAGTAGGTTCTGAAGAGTGGATGACACGAAACAGGCTTGTTGTCATCCCCTTATGCACAGTCACACACCTTGATGTTACTTTTGGGAATTCTCAAAAGTAACGTCAGGCGAATGATAGTAGGTGCTGAAGAGTGGATGACACAGAACAGGCTTGTTATTATCCCCTCATATAGCCACACACGTTGTACAGTCACATTGCTGGAGAGTGGAACACCTGCAACATTCTTTATTTTCACAGACAGACACGGTCACATATGGTCTAGAGTCACACTCACCTGTGTGGGTTTGACCCTTTTTGCTGTCAAAGAGTCAGTTCTAGTGAGCGAGAAGATGTATCCTTCCTGCACAGTCACACTCGCATTAACACCAGTTGCATGTGCAACCAAAACATTCGCAACAGCTGCACTCACCTGTGTGGGCCTTTCGCAACAGCCACACTCACCTGTGTGGGCCTTTCGCAACAGCCACACTCACCTGTGTGGGCCTTTCGCAACAGCCACACTCACCTGTGTGGGCCTTTCGCAACAGCCACACTCACCTGTGTGGGCCTTTCGCAACAGCCACACTCACCTGTGTGGGCCTTTCGCAACAGCCACACTCACCTGTGTGGGTTCGGCCTTCTCTGCTGCAAAAGAGTTGTCTCGAGCGGACGAGAAGATAAGGGCGGGTCCAGCGCGTACGTTTTCCGTACATTACAGTTCATTCAGTGCGGTAATCTGTAATGCTTCACGGTTCAAAACGGTGCAATTTTAAAACTGCTGTGCACCGCCTGATATCTTTTCGAACCACGACGAATGAACTGTATAGTACCTGAAAACGTATGCGCTGGACCCGCCCTAAGAAGATGCCTCCCTCCTGCGCACAACAGTCTTACTATTACCGACACAGCAGTCACAGATGGTGTGTAGAGTCATGCTCACCGGTGTGGGTTTGACTCTCTCTGCTGTGAAAGTGTTGTCTCCAGTGGACGAGAAGATGAGAAGATGTATCCCTCCTGCACACTACAGTCTTACTATTACCGACACACAGCAGTCACAGATGGTGTGTAGAGTCATGCTCACCGGTGTGGGTTTGACTCTCTCTGCTGTGAAAGAGTTGTCTCCAGTGGACGACAAGATGTACCCTTCCTGCATAGGCACATCCGCAACAGTCACATTTGCAACAGTCAGATTCGCAACAGTAACATTAGCAACAATCGCATTCGTGACAATCACATGTGCACAGTTACATGTGAAAACAGCACAGTCACTCAACGATCCGAAAGCACCTCCACGGTACCTTCTTCAGCTCCACGTGATAACTGCATCATCATCATACAGCGGGAACAAAACAACCTTCTCTGTGATCTCCTCCCTCTGATGTACCCTACTCAGTGCTAACCCACCGTACTCAGCTCCACGTGGTAATGTGCATCATCATACAGCGGACCCAGAGCAACATCTTCTGTATCACCCTCCCTCCCCCAAGCCACCAACATCGTACGGTCACTCAACCATCCCAATGCACTTCCACGGTACCTTATTCAGCTCCACGTGATAAGTTGCATCGTCGTACAGCGGACCCAGAACAACCACCTCTGTATCATCCTCCCTTCCCAACCCAAGCCACTGACACAAAACAGCCACTCAACCATCCCAATGCACCTCCACTGTAACCCACCTTACTCAGCTCCACGTGGTAGCTTGCATCGTCGTACAGCGGACCCAGCACAACCTCCTCTGTATTATCCTCCCCCTCCATCCCCGCCCCTGCTACTCTTCCCTCCTCCCCATCACTCTCCCCCAAATCCCTCCTCCCCTTTTCTACTCCGTGCCACCCCTCTGTCAACCGCCATCCCACCAACTCCCCTGCCTTCCAACCCCCTGCGTCACTTGCTGAGTCAGCAACCACTGAGACGTTGACACCTGGCAGCGCGGGGGTGATTCTTGCTGTGAGGAAGAGACCTGGACGGGCATAGACTGGAGGGAGGGGCGACGGGCATGTGAAGGGCTCGAATCGCGCCTGGAGAGGAAGAGGGAGGGAGGGAGTAAGGGGATTTACAAGGGGTGGGGATGGATTTGAATGGGTGCTGTGGGGATTGAGTTGGGCCGTGTGAAACATGCCTGGGCGGGCATAGAGTGGCAGGAGGGGCGGAGGGCACCTGAAGGGCTCGACAGTTACCTGGGGAGGGGGGTGTAGCAAGGGGATTAAGAGGGGTGGGGTGAGATTTGAAGGAGTGGGTTAAGATTGAGTTGGGCTGTGACGAAGACACCTGGGCGGGCATAGATTCGCGGGAGGGGCGCGTAGGGCATGTGAAGGGCTTGACACTCACCTGAAGAGGAGATTGGAAGGGGTGGGGAAGGGATCGAAAGGGGTGGGGAGGGGTTTGGAAGGGGTGTGGTAGAAGGACAACTGAATTTGCTCCCTGTTCAGAACTTGCAGCACCGAGGGAAAAGGTGCTAAGAACTTTCAGAGTCAACAAAGATAAGCTGAAAAGAGTTGGCAAGGGGAGGAGGACGTATAAAGACGTAAATAAACGTACAGAGACGTAAATAAACGTACAGAGACGTAAATAAACGTACAGAGACGTAAATAAACATACAGAGACGTAAATAAACGCAGAGACATAAATAAACGTACAGAGACGTAAATAAACGTTCGGAGGCGTAAAGAAACGTAAAGAGACTTAATAAACGCACAGTGACGTAAATAAACGTACTGAGACGTAAATAAACGTACAGAGACGTAAATAAACGTACAGAGACGTAAATAAACGTACAGAGACGTAAATAAACGTACAGGGACGTAAATAAACGGAGAGAGGCGTAAATAAACGTACCGAGACATAAATAAACGTACAGAGACGTAAATAAACGTACAGAGACGTAAATGGACGTACAGAGACGTAAATAAACGTACAGAGACGTAAATAAACGTACAGAGACGTCAAAAAACGTACTGAGACGTAAATAAACGTACAGAGGCGTAAATAAACGTACAGAGACGTAAATAAACGTACAGAGACGTAAACAAACGTACAGAGACGTAAACGAACGTACAGAGACGTAAACAAACGTAAAGAGACGTAAATAAACGTACAGAGACGTAAACAAACGTACAGAGACGTAAATAAACGTACAGAGACGTAAATAAACGTACTGAGACGTAAATAAACGTACAGAGACGTAAATAAACGTACTGAGACGTAAATAAACGTACAGAGGCGTAAATAAACGTACTGAGACGTAAATAAACGTACAGAGACGTAAATAAACGTACAGAGACGTATATTAACGTACAGAGACGAAAATAAACGTACTGAGACGTAAATAAACATACTGAGACGTAAATAAACGTACAGAGACGTAAATAAACGTACTGAGACGTAAATAAACGTACAGAGACGTAAATAAACGTAGTGAGACGTAAATAAACGTACTGAGACGTAAATAAACGTACTGAGACGTAAACAAACGTACAGAGACGTAAATAAACGTACAGAGACGTAAATAAACGTACAGAGACGTAAATAAACGTACAGAGACGTAAAACAACGTCCAAAGACGTTAAGAAACGTAGAGAGGCGTAAGTAAACGTGCAGAGATGTGAAGAAACGTACATGGGCGTAACATAAACATATTAGAGACATAAACAAACAGAAAGACACGTAAAGATATGTGCAGGAACGTACCGAAATGCGAGGCACCTCTATTGCACTTACAGGAATGGCTGAAGGGTAAAAGAGGGGCCGTAGGGTTGGTGGCAGTGGAAGGTGCCATCTGGGGAAGGTGCTATCTATCTGGAAGAAGAGACCTCTATTGCACTTACAGGAATGGCTGAAGGGTAAAAGAGGAGCCGTGGGGTTGGTGGCAGGGGAAGGTGTCATCTGGGGAAGGTGCTTTTAGGGAATAAAAGAGACCTCTATTGCACTTACAGGAATGGCTGAAGGGTAAAACAAGAGCTGCAGGGTTGGTGGGTAGGGGAAGGTGCCACCTGGGGAAGGTGCTATCTGGGAATGTAAGAGACCTCTATTGCACTTACAGGGATGGCTGAAGGGTAAAAGAGGAGCCGCGGGGTTGGTGGGTAGGGGAAGGTGCCATCTGGGGAAGGGTTTTCTTTGGAATTCTCGGACCTGTCGGTTGGAGAGCTGGGGAGAGGCACGGGGCGGGCAGAGAAGGCATGAGGGGTGATGCATGATCAAAAGGAGGTGCCATCTGGGGAAGGTTTTTCTTTGGAATTCTCGGATCTGTAGGTTGGAGCACTGGGGAGAGGCACGGGGCGGGTGGAGGAGGGAAAACAGCGGGAGGTGGAGGGCAAGCGACGGGAGGTGGAGGGCAAACGGCGGGAGGAGGAGGGCAAGCGGCGGGAGGTGGAGGGCAAACGGCGGGAGGTGGAGGGCAAACGGCGGGAGGTGGAGGGCAAACGGCGGGAGGTGGAGGGCAAACGGCGGGAGGTGGAGGGCAAACGGCGGGAGGTGGAGGGCAAACAGCGGGAGGTGGAGGGCAAACGGCGGGAGGTGGAGCAAACCGCGGGAGGTGGAGGGCAAACGGCGGGAGGTGGAGGGCAAAAGGCGGGAGGTGGAGGGCAAACGGCGGGAGGTGGAGGGCAAACGGCGGGAGGTGGAGGGCAAGCGGCGGGAGGTGGAGGGCAAGCGGCGGGAGGTGGAGGGCAAGCGGCGGGAGGTGGAGGGCAAGCGGCGGGAGGTGGAGGGCAAACGGCGGGAGGTGGAGGGCAAACGGCGGGAGGTGGAGGGCAAACGGCGGGAGGTGGAGGGCAAACGGCGGGAGGTGGAGGGCAAACGGCGGGAGGTAGAGGGCAAACGGCGGGAGGTGGAGGGCAAACGGCGGGAGGTGGAGGGCAAACGGCGGGAGGTGGAGGGCAAACGGCGGGAGGTGGAGGGCAAACGGCGGGAGGTGGAGGGCAAACGGCGGGAGGTGGAGGGCAAACAGTGGGAGGAGGGCAAACGGTGGGAGGAGGAGGGCAAACGGCGGGAGGTGGAGGGCAAACGGCGGGAGGTGGAGGGAAAACGGCGGGAGGTGGAGGGCAAACGGTGGGAGGAAAAAACGAATCAGTGGGGGAGATGCAATGCATCACAGAATCATGGTTTGACATGCACCAAAGGAATCATGGTTTGACATGCACCAAAGGAAAGGCCACAATGTGACACTCATTCATAGACTCCTCAACCACTTGACCTACCTGACTCACTCACTCACTCGCTCTCACATGCACTCGCTCACGCCCACACTCTCACTTGCACTCAGGCTCACTCATAGACTCCTCTCCAAGAATCAACCGCTTGACCTTTCTGATTCGCTCACTCTCACTCACACGCACACTCACTCACACTCGCTCACACACTCACTCACACTCGCACACACATTCACTCACACTCGCACACACATTCACTCACACTCGCACACACATTCACTCACACTCGCACACACATTCACTCACTTGCACACACATTCACTCACACTCGCACACACATTCACTCACACTCGCACACACATTCACTCACACTCACACTCTGGCTCACTCACCTCGTAGACTCACGCCCACGTCACTCAACCACTCAACCTATCTGACTCACTCACTCTCACTCCCACCGTCACTCAACCACTAAATCTATCTGGCTCACTCACTCTCACTCCCACCGTCACTCATGCTCACACCCACACACACAGTCACTCACACTCTCACTCGCACGCACACTCACCCTGTCGACTCACTTAGACTCACACAACAATCTCACCCTATGGACTCACACCCGCACTCACTCACCCTATGGACTCACACTCATACTCACACTCACCTTGCAGACGAAATCCCTGCTTCCAAGTTTCCCTCGCCAAATTCTTGCCCCCCCTGCACTTCCTGCTCCCACCCCTCCCCTAAATCCACCTCCCTAATATCCACCTCCCCTGCTTCCACCTCCCCAGCATTAACATCAGCAGCAGCATCATCACTAGCAGCAGCACTAGCAGCAGCACTAGCAGCAGCACTAGCAGCAGCATCAGCAGTGGATGAGAGTGTGAGAGGTGCGGATGGGAAGCCCGAGTGGTGGAGAGAGAGCACGAGACTGGCGTGTGGTTCAAGCCAATAGGACTGCACGGCATAGGGAAGAAAAGGAGAAGAGAGGAGTGGGCGGCAAGGAAGCAGAGGCACGATAAGGATGATGAGCACTGGAGTGGATTGCCACGTGATTGAAGAAGTGTTTTGAGACACTGGAGACGAAACACGTGGGCGTCTCAAAACACTTCTTCAATCAAGCAGTGGAGTGGATTGCCACAGGATCCTCCGTGGATGGTGGGTGTTTTTGAGACGCCTCAAAAATACCCTCAACACACATGAGCAGTTGAGTGAATCGCCACAGGATCCTCCCTGGATGGTGGGCAGCGCACTGAGGGAGCCGTAACTAGCATTCTCACTCCACCACTCCTCACCACTGATCACCATCCCTCACCGCGCCTCACCTGCTCGTAGATTGCAACAGGATCCTCCCTGGATGGTGGGCGGCGCACTGAGGGAGAGACGTAACCGGGTAATTGATAACCAGGTAATAGACGTAACCGTCATATGACAGTGGTGTGGGTGATCATCACGCCTCACCACTGCTCACCATGCCTCACCATTCCTCACCGTGCCTCACCTGCTTGTAGATTGCCACAGAGTCCTCCTTGGACGGTGGGCAGCGCACTGAGCTGAGAGAGAGCCGTAGCTGTCAGTCACTCCCACCGCCATTCCCACTGATGCGCGCGACGATGGTTGCTTCAAGAGAAAGGTGGGTGAACGAGCAGTAACAAATGTGCCCACATACAACAACGGTGTGGGTGCTCACCACTGCTCACCACTGCCCACCACTGCTCACCACTGCCCACCACTGCCCACCACTGTTCACCACTGCTCACCACTGCCCACCACAGTCCCCAATGCCTCACCTGCTCATAGATAGCTACAGGGTCTTCCTTAAATGGTGGGCGGTGCACTGAAAGAGTGCCGTAGCTGTCAGTCGCTCCCACCGCCATTCCCACTGATGCGCGCGTTGATGGTTGCCTCACCGCCCCTCACCACCCCTCACCTTGCCCCACCATGCCTCACCATGCCCCACCATGCCTCACCATGCCCCACCATGCCTCAACATGCCCCACCATGCCTCACCTGCTCATAAATTGCCAGAGGGTCCTCCCTGGATGGTGGGCGGCGCACTGAGAGAGAGCCGTAGCTGTCACCCCCACCGCCATTCCCACTGATGCGTGCGACAATGCTTGCTTCGAGAGAAAGGTGGGAGAGCGATGGCGGGAGGAGGGAGGTGTTGAGGAAAACGGGGCCAGAGACTCGATAGGCCGTGGGAGTCAGGATGATGGGCTGCAGCAGACAGAGGGGAGAGAGAGGAGAAAGAGAGAGAAAGAGAGAGAAAGAGTATAACCAAAGGGACGTGTTGAGGAAAACGGGGCCAGAGACTCGGTAGGCTGTGGGAGTCAGGAAGATGGGCTGCAGGAGAAAGGGGGGAGGTGGGAGAAACATGAAGACACGAAGGGTAGAAACATGAAGACACGAAGGGGAGAAGCATGAAGACACGAAGGGGAGAAACATGAAGACACGAAGGGGAGAAACATGAAGACACGAAGGGGAGAAACATGAGGACACGAAGGGGAGAAACATGAAGACATGAAGGGGAGAAACATGAAGAGGAGGGAGGTGTTGAGGAGGACAGGGCCGGACACGCGGTAGGCTGTAGGGGTCAGGAAGATGGGCTGCAGGAGAAAGGGGGAAGAAACATGACGAGGAGGGAAGTGTTGAGGAGGACAGGGCCGGACACACGGTAGGCCATGGGAATCAGGCGAATGGGCTGCAGAGGGGGGCAGAGAAAGGAGGGAGTAAGAGCAGGGAAAAAAAACAAAAAACAAAAAAAACAAAAGTGAAGACAGGGAGGCGTTGAGGAAGACAGGGCTGGATAGGCAGTAGGCCGTGGGAGTCAGGAGGATAGGCAGTAGGCCGTGGGAGTCAGGAGGATAGGCAGTAGGCCGTGGGAGTCAGGAGGATAGGCAGTAGGCCGTGGGAGTCAGGAGGATAGGCAGTAGGCCGTGGGAGTCAGGAGGATAGGCAGTAGGCCGTGGGAGTCAGGAGGACAGGCAGTACGCCGTGGGAGTCAGGAGGATAGGCAGTAGGCCGTGGGAGTCAGGAGGATAGGCAGTAGGCCGTGGGAGTCAGGAGGATAGGCAGTAGGCCGTGGGAGTCAGGAGGATAGGCAGTAGGCCGTGGGAGTCAGGAGGACAGGCAGTAGGCCGTGGGAGTCAGGAGGATAGGCAGTAGGCTGTGGGAGTCAGGAGGAATGGCAGTAGGCCGTGGGAGTCAGGAGGATAGGCAGTAGGCCGTGGGAGTCAGGAGGATAGGCAGTAGGCCGTGGGAGTCAGGAGGATAGGCAGTAGGCCGTGGGAGTCAGGAGGACAGGCAGTAGGCCGTGGGAGTCAGGAGGATAGGCAGTAGGCTGTGGGAGTCAGGAGGAATGGCAGTAGGCCATGGGAGTCAGGAGGAATGGCAGTAGGCCGTGGGAGTCAGGAGGATAGGCAGTAGGCCGTGGGAGTCAGGAGGATAGGCAGTAGGCCGTGGGAGTCAGGAGGATAGGCAGTAGGCCGTGGGAGTCAGGAGGATAGGCAGTAGGCCGTGGGAGTCAGGAGGATAGGCAGTAGGCCGTGGGAGTCAGGAGGATAGGCAGTAGGCCGTGGGAGTCAGGAGGACAGGCAGTAGGCCGTGGGAGTCAGGAGGATAGGCAGTAGGCCGTGGGAGTCAGGAGGATAGGCAGAAGGCCGTGGGAGTCAGGACGATAGGCAGTAGGCCGTGGGAGTCAGGAGGATAGGCAGTAGGCCGTGGGAGTCAGGAGGACAGGCAGTAGGCCGTGGGAGTCAGGAGGATAGGCAGTAGGCCGTGGGAGTCAGGAGGATAGGCAGTAGGCCATGGGAGTCAGGAGGATAGGCAGTAGGCCGTGGGAGTCAGGAGGATAGGCAGTAGGCCGTGGGAGTCAGGAGGATAGGCAGTAGGCCGTGGGAGTCAGGAGGACAGGCAGTAGGCCGTGGGAGTCAGGAGGATAGGCAGTAGGCCGTGGGAGTCAGGAGGATAGGCAGTAGGCCGTGGGAGTCAGGAGGACAAGCAGTAGGCCGTGGGAGTCAGGAGGATTGGCAGTAGGCCGTGGGAGTCAGGAGGATAGGCAGTAGGCCGTGGGAGTCAGGAGGATAGGCAGTAGGCCGTGGGAGTCAGGAGGACAGGCAGTAGGCCGTGGGAGTCAGGAGGACAGGCAGTAGGCCGTGGGAGTCAGGAGGATAGGCAGTAGGCCGTGGGAGTCAGGAGGACAGGCAGTAGGCCGTGGGAGTCAGGAGGATAGGCAGTAGGCCGTGGGAGTCAGGAGGATAGGCAGTAGGCCGTGGGAGTCAAGAGGATAGGCAGTAGGCCGTGGGAGTCAGGAGGATAGGCAGTAGGCCGTGGGAGTCAGGAGGACAGGCAGTAGGCCGTGGGAGTCAGGAGGATAGGCAGTAGGCCGTGGGAGTCAGGAGGATAGGCAGTAGGCCATGGGAGTCAGGAGGATAGGCAGTAGGCCGTGGGAGTCAGGAGGATAGGCAGTAGGCCGTGGGAGTCAGGAGGATAGGCAGTAGGCCGTGGGAGTCAGGAGGATAAGCAGTAGGCCGTGGGAGTCAGGAGGACAGACAGTAGGGCGTGGGAGTCAGGAGGATAGGCAGTAGGCCGTGGGAGTCAGGAGGACAGGCAGTAGGCCGTGGGAGTCAGGAGGATAGGCAGTAGGCCGTGGGAGTCAGGAGGATAGGCAGTAGGCCATGGGAGTCAGGAGGATAGGCAGTAGGCCGTGGGAGTCAGGAGGATAGGCAGTAGGCCGTGGGAGTCAGGAGGATAGGCAGTAGGCCGTGGGAGTCAGGAGGACAGGCAGTAGGCCGTGGGAGTCAGGAGGATAGGCAGTAGGCCGTGGGAGTCAGGAGGATAGGCAGTAGGCCGTGGGAGTCAGGAGGACAGGCAGTAGGCCGTGGGAGTCAGGAGGATTGGCAGTAGGCCGTGGGAGTCAGGAGGATAGGCAGTAGGCCGTGGGAGTCAGGAGGATAGGCAGTAGGCCGTGGGAGTCAGGAGGACAGGCAGTAGGCCGTGGGAGTCAGGAGGACAGGCAGTAGGCCGTGGGAGTCAGGAGGATAGGCAGTAGGCCGTGGGAGTCAGGAGGACAGGCAGTAGGCCGTGGGAGTCAGCAGGATAGGCAGTAGGCCGTGGGAGTCAGGAGGATAGGCAGTAGGCCGTGGGAGTCAGGAGGATAGGCAGTAGGCCGTGGGAGTCAGGAGGATAGGCAGTAGGCCGTGGGAGTCAGGAGGATAGGCAGTAGGCCGTGGGAGTCAGGAGGATAGGCAGTAGGCCGTGGGAGTCAGGAGGATAGGCAGTAGGCCGTGGGAGTCAGGAGGATAGGCAGTAGGCCGTGGGAGTCAGGAGGACAGGCAGTAGGCCGTGGGAGTCAGGAGGATAGGCAGTAGGCCGTGGGAGTCAGGAGGAATGGCAGTAGGCCATGGGAGTCAGGAGGATAGGCAGTAGGCTGTGGGAGTCAGGAGGATAGGCAGTAGGCCGTGGGAGTCAGGAGGACAGGCAGTAGGCCGTGGGAGTCAGGAGGATAAGCAGTAGGCCGTGGGAGTCAGGAGGACAGGCAGTAGGCCGTGGGAGTCAGGAGGATAGGCAGTAGGCCGTGGGAGTCAAGAGGATAGGCAGTAGGCCGTGGGAGTCAGGAGGATAGGCAGTAGGCCGTGGGAGTCAGGAGGATAGGCAGTAGGCCGTGGGAGTCAGGAGGATAGGCAGTAGGCCGTGGGAGTCAGGAGGATAGGCAGTAGGCCGTGGGAGTCAGGAGGACAGGCAGTAGGCCGTGGGAGTCAGGAGGATTGGCAGTAGGCCGTGGGAGTCAGGAGGATAGGCAGTAGGCCGTGGGAGTCAGGAGGATAGGCAGTAGGCCGTGGGAGTCAGGAGGATAGGCAGTAGGCCGTGGGAGTCAGGAGGATAGGCAGTAGGCCGTGGGAGTCAGGAGGACAGGCAGTAGGCCGTGGGAGTCAGGAGGATAGGCAGTAGGCCGTGGGAGTCAGGAGGATAGGCAGTAGGCCGTGGGAGTCAGGAGGACAGGCAGTAGGCCGTGGGAGTCAGGAGGATAGGCAGTAGGCCGTGGGAGTCAGGAGGATAGGCAGTAGGCCGTGGGAGTCAGGAGGACAGGCAGTAGGCCGTGGGAGTCAGGAGGATAGGCAGTAGGCCGTGGGAGTCAGGAGGATAGGCAGTAGGCCGTGGGAGTCAGGAGGACAGGCAGTAGGCCGTGGGAGTCAGGAGGATAGGCAGTAGGCCGTGGGAGTCAAGAGGATAGGCAGTAGGCCGTGGGAGTCAGGAGGATAGGCAGTAGGCCGTGGGAGTCAGGAGGATAGGCAGTACGCCGTGGGAGTCAGGAGGATAGGCAGTAGGCCGTGGGAGTCAGGAGGACAGGCAGTAAGCCGTGGGAGTCAGGAGGATAGGCAGTAGGCCGTGGGAGTCAGGAGGATAGGCAGTAGGCCGTGGGAGTCAGGAGGACAGGCAGTAGGCCGTGGGAGTCAGGAGGATAGGCAGTAGGCCGTGGGAGTCAGGAGGATAGGCAGTAGGCCGTGGGAGTCAGGAGGATAGGCAGTAGGCCGAGGGAGTCAGGAGGATAGGCAGTAGGCTGTGGGAGTCAGGAGGATAGGCAGTAGGCCATGGGAGTCTGGAGGATAGGCAGTAGGCCGTGGGAGTCAGGAGGATAGGCAGTAGGCCGTGGGAGTCAGGAGGATAGGCAGTAGGCCGTGGGAGTCAGGAGGATAGGCACTAGGCCGTGGGAGTCAGGAGGATAGGCAGTAGGCCGTGGGAGTCAGGAGGATAGGCAGTAGGCCGTGGGAGTCAGGAGGATAGGCAGTAGGCCGTGGGAGTCAGGAGGATAGGCAGTAGGCCGTGGGAGTCAGGAGGACAGGCAGTAGGCCGTGGGAGTCAGGAGGATAGGCAGTAGGCCGTGGGAGTCAGGAGGACAGGCAGTAGGCCGTGGGAGTCAGCAGGATAGGCAGTAGGCCGTGGGAGTCAGGAGGATAGGCAGTAGGCCGTGGGAGTCAGGAGGATAGGCAGTAGGCCGTGGGAGTCAGGAGGATAGGCAGTAGGCCGTGGGAGTCAGGAGGATAGGCAGTAGGCCGTGGGAGTCAGGAGGATAGGCAGTAGGCCGTGGGAGTCAGGAGGATAGGCAGTAGGCCGTGGGAGTCAGGAGGATAGGCAGTAGGCCGTGGGAGTCAGGAGGATAGGCAGTAGGCCGTGGGAGTCAGGAGGACAGGCAGTAGGCCGTGGGAGTCAGGAGGATAGGCAGTAGGCCGTGGGAGTCAGGAGGAATGGCAGTAGGCCATGGGAGTCAGGAGGATAGGCAGTAGGCTGTGGGAGTCAGGAGGATAGGCAGTAGGCCGTGGGAGTCAGGAGGACAGGCAGTAGGCCGTGGGAGTCAGGAGGATAAGCAGTAGGCCGTGGGAGTCAGGAGGACAGGCAGTAGGCCGTGGGAGTCAGGAGGATAGGCAGTAGGCCGTGGGAGTCAAGAGGATAGGCAGTAGGCCGTGGGAGTCAGGAGGATAGGCAGTAGGCCGTGGGAGTCAGGAGGATAGGCAGTA